ATAAAATATTACTAGTAATATTTTATAATATCAATATGTTGAATGAATCATTAAAAATGAAATACGTCTTTTGAAGATTTGAAGATACAAAATAATGTATATTAAATTATTTAAATACTTCTAAAACACAAATATAAATATAAATTTTTTGATCTTTAGATATTATATTATTTAAAGCTAGGTTTCTGATAATACAAGCTGGCAACAAAAATTTTTATCAAGCAATCTTCAGATGTTTTTTGTAAATTTTGGTTGCAAGAAACAATGCCACTCACTAAATGACCAAATTGGTTCTTTATCACGTTAGATCTTAAAGTTATTTTAAATTTGAACATAAGATATTAGTGATTTATAAGAAAAAAATGTATAATAAATTACTAATCATCAATGAAGTAATAAAAATAAGTGAAAATTTGATTTATACATATATTGATTTCTTATTAGCAAAGGATAAAAAATTATTTCATAAATAGCAAAAATGTTTGCTTGTTAAGAAATTATTACGTAAAAATGGCAAAAATGTTTGTTTGTTAAAAATATATCACGTAAAAATGTCGTTTTCCACAGAATATTTATTGACTAACACATTCTTGCTATTGAAATGTCAAAATTAAAACTTATTTAGAAAAAAATTGAAAACAATTTTTCATTCCTTTTATATTAAAAATTAATAAAGCTTTTTTTATATGTTTTGAAATATTTGTTTTATCAGCCATTTTAGAATACTACTTTTTTAATAAAATTTTTAATAAAATTTCAAGAATGTTTTATAATAAAGAGAACGGAACTCAATGTTTTAATAACACTAATATTTGAAGTTTGTTCTCACTTCGTCAAACCTTGATAAAAGCGATTGCTTTTCTACGCACAGTATGCTTGACAAATAAACATTTTTGCTATTTGTAAGACATTTTTTTATCTTTCGCTAATAAAAAAATTAATCGCGTTCAGCAGAACATTTATTTTGCAACCGTTGAAAATTTTCTTTGCTAACTGGTTTACACTTTTAGATCTAGAGGAATAGTCTATCGACGAAAAAATTTCCAATAGTTGCAAAATAAATGTTCTGCTGAACGCGACTATCGCGTAAATCAAACATTTATCTGTTTTATGATTTTATTGACTGTTAGTGATTTATTACACATTTTTTCTGTTTTATGATTTTATTGACTGTTAGTGATTTATTACACATTTTTTAATATAAATTGCTTATTACTCATCTTAGTCATCTTAATTTAAAATAATTTTAAAACTTGACGTAATAGAGCATTTGGCATTCCTTTTTGTAATTCATAAAAAACACCTACGCTAATTAGAATTATTTAACAAAATTATTTTATTGACTTGTGTAATTCCTCTACTTTTCGATTTCATGCTTTAAATTTTTATTATTTTTATCATTATTATTTTTCAGTTTTTAAAAATTATATATAAATAAAATAAAATATATATTTTTTTTATATAATATATTATAAAAATATACACTGTTAAATCTATTGTGTCAAATTGAACCTTATTTAAGTCGCCACTGCTCCTACTTAATAAATAGTTATTTTTAACTAAAACAATATAGTTC